TGTTTCGATTTTGGAGAATATTCTTCCTCAAATATTTGCAGTTTCGATACAGTTTTCAGTTTAATTATAACGGAAAGGGATATTTAACTTACCTTGACTTTCTACGTCTTCAGGACACCGTGAAATGACCAATAAGATAAGGAAAAATGTGTTCAACCGCCACATTTTAGCTCAATCAGGTGACTTTGACTTAGGACGATTGCATTTGCGCACTGTAACTACGGTAAAAAAGGGAACAACTTTTGTTGCATCACGCAAGGTAGAACTGGACCACCATGAAGGATTTCCTAAGCATATTTTGTGTGTGTTTGTGTGTTGCCATATTATTTGCAAACACGCCGTTTGTACTGAAGTACTCAATCCCGCTTAATCTGTATGTTTTTTGTGCGTCAACATAGTTTTGTGTGCGTGTTATTGCTTGCAGCTACATTACCGCAAATCTATTTTTTATTCTTCTCCCTAATAGTGTAGACTCACCGCAAATATGAAACAGGATCTGCTCTATTAGGCTGACTAGTGTCAATATTATATTCTAAAAAAAGTTAACGGTGCATTGATATAAATATACATACATGAAAGCGAGAATTATACTAAGAAGTTAACAGGGCAAGTAAAATCTTAGATAAATAGAACACACTGGATCAACGAAAACAGGGTGAAGAACAACACAGTCTGTGTGTAAACGTCCAGCAAAGAAAAAATAACCTTCATCGAAATGGACAAATGCGTTATTTTTAATATAAATATAATTCTTAACACCCCGTTCAATAAACATCTCATTTCTAACGGAATTAACACCGACATTCCACCAGGTATTGCCAGTTGGTTCAAACATAAGCAAGACCGAAACGATAAAAAAGGGAAGTTGAAGGGTGTACCTTATGAAGACAGTTTTAACAAATGGCCTACCCCAAAGTCGCATTTTAATAACATTTAAACAAACAAAAAAGTGTAGCATATTGCCTGTCAGTCGTAAGTTAAACATGTGGCACCGGCCTTCCTTTCATGTAGGTCCGCCATGTTTAGGTCGCGGCCTTACTAGACCTCGGCTCTTCACGATGTGAATGCTCCCACAGATCAGGCCAGAATCTGACGAAGCTGCTGCATTACGCATGAAAAGCCCCTTTTTAAGACCATAGGAAGCGGCTCTGCATTTTACTGATGTCGGCGGCCATATCGCACCTATTATAAAAATTACTCCTAGGTTTTTAACCCCGTCTTTTACCGTGAACATGCTGTTTCCGATTTCTATTAGTTCTAATTTGAACCACAGTACTTCTGTTTGGCCATCATTGCAAAGAAGTGAATTGGCATTAAAGCATTAACTTAACTGACTATTACCTTTCTGGATAGATGGCATCGCATCTTATGGCCTGTCGCAAACAATATAAATTTGTGAGTCATCTGCATAGGGCATTAGGTTGAAACCGTACTTAAAAAAATGTCCTCAGTTGGTGACGTGTAAAGAGTGAACAGGATGAGGCCAAGTGCAGAGCCAAATAAATATCATTCTAAAAGGAAAGGATAAATATTGCACAGGATATGGAGATGCTTTAGGATCTCCGTGGGTGGGTGAGCTGCACTAGTTGAGACTGGGTTGTATCTTGGGTGTGGCATCAATGGCAGCACCAGGGGCAGCAGGCCCAGTAGGTCACGTGATCCCCATAGCCTCAGTGATTTTCTGTTTTTAAAAATGAAGGAAAGCGGGAAGTTGCATCACCGAGCTACCTTATTTTAGTAGCAAGCTGCTCTCTGTCTACTGCTAGACATTGTACAATAGGCAAGGGCTTTCATAATCATCAACCCTCACCCACCCACCCCATATAGCAACATTCTAAATCCAGACGTTAGCAGGGGTCAATTTCACAATGCTTTAGTATGTTTGGCGGGCGAGGAATCCTGTCGTGCTAAGACTTAGCAAATACCAGGTTTTTAATATCTTTTAACTACGCGCCTTAAGCAAACTGTCATTTCATTTGGGTATGTTAAACACTGTTACTTTTATAGTGGGGCAGTCGTTTTTAAAAGTTCTAAACCAAATATACAAAACCAACTTAACATGTTCAGCTGCCTTATTCTATCAGGCTTTAAGCTAACCCCAATAGCTTTAGAGTCTTTTTGAAATAAGTCCAGGTAATAATACCGGTAAAAGTACTGTATATAATATATAATGCCGTATGATCACACAAAAGAGGCGCCACTCACTTTTATTCACTATTCATCAACTAACGGATAAGGTTAAGTATAGGAAAAATAATCTTTGTAAGAAAATACCTGAAGCTGAGACAGCAAGGGAATGTGCAGTTGCTAGGAAACGAAAGAACATGATAATATTGATCGCGGTTAAACAATGAAACAAACTGGTTATTCCAAATGTTGAAATAAATAACTAATTTCGAGACGCTTTTTT